TGAGAGTATGTAACTATTTTTTTAACTGTGTATAGTCTTGACACACAGAAATTTAATGGTTATTATAATAAACATGGTTATATTTTGATACATAATTTATAAAGGAATTTATGCTTGCTAATTATTTATCTCTATAATTTATAAGAAAAACACACAGGTACACATATATTGCTTGACTAGCAGCTCTCTGTAGGCTGAAATAAGTAGATGCAACTCCAGGACAGATATTCTATTTGTAAACAGGGTTGGAATATCCGTCTAAGTAAATCTGCAGCTAGGGATATCATTACCTGAGCTAGGATTGTTAACTAAGTATGTCAACGTGTCCTACAGTCCCAACTGGAATTGCAATGTAAACATAGCTTGTGTTGGTATAGGCAAACCTGTTTAATAAAACCTGTCAGAAAAAGGAATTTCTTCTACAACTCACTTCAAGTTCAATTTTTATTTTGAAACACTGAACTATTTCATTTCAAATGTGTCCAATAGTTTTGTTTTGATAGAAAATAACATTAAAAGTACATAAATATTTCTCAAGATCTCTTCCAGCCCCCTTACTTGATTCTGCGAAATGTATCAAAAGTTAGATTTTAATTTATTTGTTTTTATTTTTCCCCATGAAATGGAAATCCCAGAGGGATACGTTTCAGTAAGACATCGTCAATCTGATGAATGACAATCTTATGTCAGAATGAATGTTTGTTTCATAAGTCCTTACTGAGCTATACTGCATACTCTTATCAACCCAACCACAGAATATATAGGCCAATATATATTCATATATGTTTTAAGATAGCATATGATTTATCTGGTTATATGCTTAAAAACAGTCATTGAAAGTTTGATCCTGATAATAGCTTTTGTTAAAAAAAATAACATTAATTATCAAAGTGCTGACTTCTGCTTTTTAAAGCATGTGCTTTTCTCTAACTGCAGTTTGATGGGCAGAGACTCTGTGAACTGAAGCTTTCTTTCTTCAGGTTAAAAAAAAATAAAAAAATCCCAAGCCAACATTAGTCTTTAGCTTGCAATTTTCTTGTGAGAGAAGTGATCAGAGGCACAATGTTGTCTTATATCCCGCTTTGAGTCTTGGGACTTCCTAATTGTGATATTAAAACAGAACAACGAACTATTAATAAGAACAAAAAATATTGTTTTTTTCTCCTCTTCTGAGAAGTTCTTTCTAGGACATCTGAGATATGAGCAAAAAATTTATGGTACATATTTTTACATATTTTATAGATGTCATATGCATATGTGGTAATGTGTTATAATCAACACATTAACCCAAGGCCAATCAAACACAAAAGCATAGGCTGTTATTTTTCAAGATGTTAGACTAGGAAGAAAGGTTGTTTTGTGCCAGTAAGTCTGTTTCCTGCTGCTAAACTTAGTAGAGATGTAAAACATTGCAGAAATAAATGCGGCAAGATCCTGAAAAACTATTCTAAAGGAAGAGCTTAAAAATACACATGTATGTATTTACACTTACAGTAAAGCCGGTCTACTCCACCAGCATGATCCAGGACATGTAAAGTCGTGGTTAAAAACATTAAATTTATGAGTGATAAGTGAATATATAGTAATATATACTTTTGAAAAAATAATAAGAAACTTCAGTGAAGAAAGTAATCCTAATAAGCCCTCTACAAGGAGGTTAGTGTTGTTGTACAATACCTAATAGATAATCATTATTGTAAGAACGTTAATAGAAAAATATATTATTTTTAATACTGTACACTGAAGTTGCTGGTTGTGAGAAACATGCAGCAACAATTTGAAGTAGAGGTATGTACATGTAAAATTAAAAGAACAGAATAGATTTTCTCAATGACTCACTTCTCAAAGAGCTTGGTTACTGCACTTCATATGATAGCTTATCTAGCTATAGTTTATATAACTAGTTATAGTTTATATGTTTTGGTGGACAAAGGGAGAGCAACCGACATCATGTACCAGGACTTCTGCAAAGCATTTGACACTGTCCCGCACTGCATTGTGGTCTCTAAATTGGAGAGACATGGATTTGATGGATGGACCACTCAGTGAATAAGGAACTGACTAGATAGCTGCACTCAAAGGGTTGCAGTCAACAGCTTGATGTCCAAGTGGAAACCAGTGATGAGTGGTGTTCCTCAGGTGTCGGTACTGGGATGGATGTTGTTCAATATCTCTGTCAGCGACATGTACAGTGGGATTGAGTGCTCCCTCAGCAAGTTTGCCAATGGCACCAAGCTGTATGGTGCAATTGACATGTTGGAGGGAATGGATGCCATCTAGAGGATCCTGGACTGGCTTGAGAGGTGGGTTTATGTGAACCTCATGAAGTTCAACAAGGACAAGTGCAGGGACCTGCGTGTGGATCACAGCAATCCCAAGCATAAATACAAACTGGGTAGAGAAGGGATTTGGAGTAGCCCCAAGGAGAAGGACTTGGGGGTGTTAACTGATGAGAAGCACAACATGAGCTGCTTGCAGCCCAGAAGGCCAACCATATCCTGGGCTGCACCAAAAGAAGTATGGCTAGCAGGTCAAGGGAGGTGATTCTCCACCTCTACTCTGCTCTCATGAGACCCCATCTGGAGCACTGTGTCCAGGTCTGGAGTCCTCAGTACAAGAAGGACATGGACCTGTTGGAGCCACAAAGGTGATTAGAGGGGTGGAGAACCTCTCCTATGAGGACTGGCTGACAGAGTGGCGGCTGTTCAGCCTGGAGAAGACACTGGGTAGAAGATATAGCTGCCTTTCAGTACCTAAAGGAGGCTTACAGAAAAGGTGGTGAGAGACTGTAGCAATAGGACAAAAGGTAATGGTTATAAACTGAAAAAGGGTAGATTAGATTAGATATTAGGAAGAAATTTTTCACTGTGAGGGTGGTGAATCACTGGAACAGGTTTCCCAGCGAAGTTGTGGATACTCCAACCCTGGAGGTGTTCAAGACCAGGCTGGATGGGGCTTTGAGCAACCTGCTCTAGTGGGAGGTGTCCATGTCAATGGCAGGGGGGCTGGAACGAGGTGGTCTTTATGTCCCTTCCAACCTAAACCATTTTGTTCTTTTATGATTCTGTGACATATGTATGTATGTATGTTTATATGTATATGTGTGTGTACACACATATATTTTTGCTTAGATATGTGTACGTAAAGTCTTTGCTTTTCCATTTGTATGTAAAATCTGAGTATCCTCTCTGAATGAACACATTAGATATCAGGGAAGACAAGTTTCTGATGGATCTTTTGATTTCAGATTATTAGAAAAAATTACAAATTCAAAGCCTTTAGGACGGTTCCTTGGTGCTCTTCATTTCTTCCTCTCTAAGCAAGAAATGACATTGTCTGTGTTGTCTATTTAAACTAGAAACTGAAGTAAAGTTGACAAGAAAATATATTTAATTCAGACTTCTACTTAGGATGTCACTAAGACACATGTAACATTGTATCTGTCAACGCAACCTGGGACAAAAATTATACATGGATTGGTAGTAGGTAGATTGATATCAAAGATGTACAGCCTAGAAAAATACTGAGTGTCATGCAATGGAATTAAATAGCAGGCAAAATATTCCCCTCCCTGCCCTGCAGGAAAAAAAAACAAAACCAAAAGCAAAAGCAAAAGCAAAACCAAACAGTTGTTAAAATGATAAAGTAATAAAGTATACCAAGTATGTGAAGCTTAAATAAAAAATAGTGAAGCAGAACATCTAACTCATATAATTGATACACATAGACTGAATATTATGGGTGAAAATCATCCCCAAAGACAGCCAAACAACATCTTACTTTACAGGAGGAATTATTTTTTCAACAAATGTTGGGTTGGGAAAGAAATGATTTCTTTGTTCTAGTCCTGACTGAAGTTTACCACAGAGACTGTTGAGGGAATAACAATTAACATCTTCCTTTCCATACATATTTATTAGGTATCAAGAATTTATGGAGTCAGAAGGTCTACTGACAGGAAAAATGAAGAAATTTATCAGCAAAAAGAAAAAAAAAATCAGGGCATAATAAGGTATATTTATAAGTTTAGAAGGAAATTGAAATGGATATGATTAAATGGTTTACAAAATGTCTGAACTCTTCCATTAAAGCGACTGATAGTGAAACACTTGGGAAGTAGTTTCAGGAACTTTATTCCTAATACATAGCAGAAAGTACCGAGCTGGGTTTCATTGGAGAATCTAAGTATTAGAGAAATAATTATTCCATTTGATTGCTGTGTTCTTCATATAAAATAACAATATTTCATATAACTGTGGTGAGAACTTGTTTGGTTTATTTGAACTTGAAAATTCCTTTTATTAATATTCTTACTGTGCTATATTGCCCATACATAAACATGTTACTCTGCAAGTTTCCAAAAGAGTCTTTCCTGTTGAAGTTGCTCCACTCATCATAATAAATTCCCACATATCTAAACCTAGCACACTAACTGGAGAAGAGACTGAACTGGACCTTCCCCTTCCACAGGGAAGGTGTACCCTTGTTACAGAACATTAACGGCAGGCTCTTGCACTATCCTCCCCAGCTCAGCTTTGGCTCCTTAGAAAGCAGAGGATGCATGAAGCCAGTGTAATCAGAGTGTCCTGCAGTCTGGGGATCACCATTTTTAGCTAAGAGGTAGGATGAAACATGATTTAATTCCTTCAAGTAAACGGTGAATCTCCCTCAGCTCTCATTCCTAAGAAAATGCCTAATTCAGTGCTGTCATTTCCACGGGTAGCAAGATGCATCAAGCCAAGAACTGTGATACAAAACACTGCAACATAAAAGTACTTTTGTGAATTTATTTCCGAGTGCGATCGTTTGGAAAATGTTATTTGTTCCCACCGCTGGCAAAATTAAAAAAAAAATAGTTTCTATATTAGCTTGTTTATAAGATTTATTTTTTTGGAAACTGTTCATAAAATATTAACTGCTGGAATTATTTTTTCCAGGAATGTATTAACTCATAAGCACATGGAGCTATCATTACAAATGTTTCAGAGCATGTGCTACAGTACTTATTCTCAGGAGATTCTGAAGCAAAGTAGGAAGCTATTTTATTGTGAATTATGACAGAAACTGCAGAAAAGAGTAAACAACAAAAACCCTACTGTTTACCATCAGATGCCTAAATAAATAAGGTATTCAATATATTATATATGTTTTATAAACAAAATCATTTTACAATAATAAGATAGTTATTAGCCAAATATATTATCCTAGCTTTTCTGACTAATGAAAGTTTTCTTGAATAATATGACTAATAGGGGGATGATAATCTAATATGAGAGGAAAGTTTCAATATAAGATTGAAATGAAACATCATCTATCCATTTGTTTGAATGTATTGGACACAGTATAGATTTTAATATTGTGTTCCCTAGCTTCTATTTTGTCATATTCTCATTTCTTTTTTTTTTTTTTCTATATAGAAACATTAGATCTAGCAATTGATTTTCCTAAATAATTAAGCTTCTAAAATTAATGCACAGAATATGACAAGAGGCACCACTTACTCCTGTCTCCAATCACAAGGATTCTCTCTGATTGATACTCAAAGGGCAAAATATAGGGAAAGATGTGAAATCCCAGAGATAAGTCCTGTTATCATCAGTCAGATTCAAATTGAACATCCTGGTCAAGAATGTTTATGGATCAAATTAAAGTGTTTGTACAGAAATGAAAAATACCAATAAAAATACGGTTAGCCAATACTTCTCATCTTGAAGACTGTAAAAAAATAATAATGTTATTATTGCAATTTTGTAATTATTGTAATGGGTATTTGCATTTGTTCCTGTTCATTCATTTCCCAGCAGGTGTCTCTATACTGCAGCTTTACTGAAAAAGAATGAGGAAGCAGACTAATTGCATAAAAACTTTTTTTTTTAAAAAAAAAGTAGAGAAAAAATAGGGAGATTAAACCTTATGATGACATCACACAACACCAAAGGAGTTAAAAATCCCCCAAAACAAACAACAGTTAAAAGACTGTAAAGGGCTTTATGAGCTTTTGGGTACAATCATACACACGTATACAGAACCAAAATGGGCTTATTAGCTATTGATTGCAACAAAAGGAGATGGTGCACTGAAAAAACAATGGTACAAAAACTAAAGCATGAGGTTTTTGTAAGTTCTCGGAAGAACAATAGCCTCTCCTGTTTCCACATATATGCAAATATATAACCTGTCTAACAACTGCTGGAATTTATCTTCATCAGCAGCTAGCATGAAAATATTGAAGTCTCACATAGCAAACATTGCAACCTTTCCTGGGAACATTAATATGGAGGTTAATGAAGACTACAGGGGTCTTGAAGAGTTGAGGGGAGAAAAGGAGAAGTAGTGAAAGAAAATTATGGTTATGAGTAAGAATTCCAGTTTGTCTTGGCTCAGGGCAGACCAAAGTAACTTTGTTTCATTTGCAACCAAATGAGTAACATTTTACCACTTAATTGGCAAATGTAACCTTTTTTAGCCAAATAAAATTTATGCTTTGATGGATCCCAGTTGTACTTCCGCACTGATCTAGGTGAAATGAAAAATCTCCACTTCCCATATAAAAGGACTAGAACACTGTTTATCATTTGATTTTAATTGCAGATTTCATGGACCAGAACGCTCTGAGATGAATAACTGATGATGCTGTGAAACATCTGAAATTCCATGTATGATTCACAATCTAGAATTAAACCTCTGCAAAGTTGTATTTTAAAGTCTTACTGTTCACAGACACAGTGTTTCAAGGTGAGTAAAAGCTGATACTCCCCGGTTTGTCCATTAATCAATAGTTCACTGAGTATTTGATAAGAGCGCAATGAGCCATAAAAAGGAACAACATGACAAGTTTTATTGATTGTCTCATATAAAGGGTAAAGAAGTGACAGATGACAGGCCCAGTTAGACCTTTACAGCAAGCAGTTACAGTATTCATGGTACATTAGTTACGACAATTTCTATTTTTGGCACAGGAACAGGAAGTGATATCATACCACATATGTCATTTGCATCAAATTTATTTCTCACCTAAAAAAAACCCCAGAAATTTATTGTACTTTTAAAAAAGTAATGGGATTAAACAGGATTATATCATTGCATCTGAAATCAGACTCTCATCTAGAATTCTGCTTAAATAATGTTACTTGTACAACCTCACGTACAAAGCATTGCATGGTATTTATGTCCTTGGCCTCTGTGTTTTTTATTTATGGACTCTCACTCGTTTTCAATATTATTTATGAGGATTCTCTCAAATCCCAATGTGTACTCAAATGTGAAGTTATTCAACAGTTTTGGCCATAAATCATTGTGCTGTTTTAGGACTTTGCTGCCACATGAATTCTTAAACTTTAAACATAAAAGCAGAGAGTGGACCATGGGAAGTTAATAAGTCAGAGAAGACCTTTACATCATAGTGCTGTCGAAATTCAAAAGTTTAAAAGTCATGTTGGAGAAACAGCATTCTGTAATAGAAAGAAATCTATTGCTGAGACAAAGTTTAAGGCATTCAGCCAAAAGCAGTCACACAGACTTTGGACACTTGTCTCTAAATTTTTTTTTGCATTATTTCCTTTATGAACATTTACTGTACCTTCAAAGTCTCTACTAAATTTCACCTCTCCTTGCTAATTCTTTCCTCTTTTGTATTTTTTACAGAGTCCTGCCACACTGAGGAATACTTCCTGGTTCACTGTTGCCTGTTCAAATTTGCAGGACATGAAAAATGCCCATAAAAAAAAATTAAGGCCTGCAAAGAATAGTTTATAGATGTTTAGTCTGTTGATTCTGCAGTCCTTCCTTACCTCAAGATTCCTAAAAGCAAGTGAAATAAGACTGAGCTTATTTTCACTTCAGTTAGGGAAGAGAACTCACTGACTTTTCTTCCTCCAAAAACAGGTGATTCTTTGCTGTAAGAAATAATTTCTTAACTTGTAAAAGAGAAGGAAGAAAGAGGGCAAAATTCTTAATCTTTCTCCAATTCCTTCTCTGTATAGCACTTCTTGCAGGACTGAACATTGGCAGTGGGAAGAAGGCAAAGACAGTCTGTTCTTTCAGATAACAGTGGCCTAGTTACGGGGTAATAAAATGTTTGTGTGTTTTTTTTTTTTATCTTAAGTGGGTAATGATGAAGCTGGATATGTATGCATTAAGATCAAAGGTGGGAAATAGTAAAAGGGTTCTGATTTGAGATGTTGTTGTAGGGATATTTTTTTTTCTAAAAGTATTGATAGGTCTTCTGACTTTAAATAAATATTTATTTACTAGTTGCTTAGCCAGACAGGAGGTCTAACTGTTTTCGAGTTTATGTATGATTAAAACTTCAATCTTTCACACAATTACCTATCCTGGCCTTATTCTAGTCTTCTGGTCAATTTCCTTCTCAAAAATATTTTCAGTCTTAGGTAGGGCTGGTCGTTTAAGTTTGAATTGTGTTATTTAATGAAATAAATGGATTTTTTTTTTTCCTTCAAGGACACCTGTAATAGTTATAGTTCATTTGATAAAACTAGTGAGTACTCACCAATGCAACGGGACTATTTCACGATAAGCCAAAAAAAAAAAAAAAAGCTGGGAAAAACAGTGTTATGAACTCAGTTGCACAGCAGATTTTATGATGCTGAACATATACTTGCCAAAGGTGACTTATTTTGTTAAGCTACCATATGAAAGTTTTAGCTTTGCTGTGTAGTGAATAAAAGGTGTAGTGTATCTATCTTCAGTTACAGTAATACCATCGCAAGCCAGCTCAGGAGTATGCATGCCAAGTTCATGCTTAAGTTGACTATGTGCTGAAGTGCTTTTCTGAATCAGAGCCATAATTGCAGCAATGTATTTAGATCATAATGTAGTTCCTTAAAGGAAAACGAATTCCAGAATGAATGACATTTTAAAAAGCCAACACTTCTTTCTTAGAATCTTGTCTCTATGATAGGCTTTACTTCTGCCCTTTTTTTTATATTCTGGCACGAGTAAGTATGTACATGAATACACAACATAAATAATAATAGGTTGCAAATTCTATTAAAATGGCAATGGTTTTCCCGTCATTGTTGCATATCCTTCTTTAAATGTCTCATGCTACTAGTAAGTCAAGATATCACAGTCTTTGGAAGTGTGACCTGGAAATTAGGCAGTGAGCAGTGGAAATTAACCCTACCGTTCTGAGACTAACCAAGCTTTCAAATATACCATCTATAAGAGTACACAAAGCCAACCAGAGGTACTCAGTATAATAAGTCTGTAGATGGAATAGAAAGGGGATGTGGGATGGAATGACTGGCTGGCAGTGCTGGCAGCTGTGGGGAATCTTCCCTCTGGGATGCTTTCTCATGTGCATTTGTTCTCTTTGCCTTTGTTACTGCGTCAGCGATTGAGCTGCTGGACATCCATTTGCCAGAACACATCATCTTGTTCTGTCTTGACAGTGAATGAGCAGGTGGCAGTGATTACACAGTGCCAATTTCGAGTGCATCCAAGGAGCAGGCTAGGGGCAACATGACCTATTTGTTTTGCATAAAACCAAGTCATTACAGAAGTTCACACACCTACTCAGGCACTTTTCAGAGTAGCTTATCAGTCTCAATCATCTGCCTTAGCTGTCACAAACCCTGCAGCAAATATCATCTAAATAGCAATGCGCTTGAACTGGTTAGAAAACCAAGGCGAAATGAAAAAGGCCAAGGGTGAAGAACAATTTTTTGTGATTACATCATTTGTTGGCTAGAATGCTTGGTAACTGTGTTTGTGAGGAAGGTTATTTCTGTTGTTGGTGGGATTTTTTAAAATGAAAGACATGAACTCTGAAAATAGTGTTGAATATAAAACTGTAAGGCACTTAACCTGAACTGATGGAGTTTGCACTTGATATGACAATTCCCATAATGTATATACGTATTTTGCTTTGATAGAGGTATACTACATGACTACTAGTGAACTATTTTTACCCCACTTGTGTGCTTTATAGTTGGACATATTTATCTCAAAGAAACATTTTAACCTAGGGAAAGGGCAAGACAATCTGTGTTGCACATGCACAGAATAAAAAATTACAGATCAGACAGATGACAAACAGGGATAGCTACAGAGATAAGTGATATTTCCTAGAACTGGAATATTTCTTGATATTTGTCTTCCTTTAATCCCTTCTGAAACTCCTTTAGAAATGAACATTTAGCTATTTTAAGGATCTTTTGAAAAAAAAATCAATTATTGTATGGATTAAATACATTAACATTGCGTTTTTAATATTTAATTCCCTTGTTCTATCTGTTTATTCACAGGCGGGCTGGTAAAACTGAACTACTGGTAAAGTGTTTAATGGAAGCTGTTAAATGAAAGATTATTGTATCTTTTTTAAAATATAGTTTGATTGCATATGGGAACTGAATGCAAGGCTTGGCCAATGGGTGTGACAACAGCAAATTGGAGGAGAGAAAGCTGAACGTGAATTTTTGTAAGATGGGAAATATAAGGAGAGGGTCAGACTAGAGGGGAGTTTATCTTAAGTACCACATCTTTGAAAAACAACACTTTGAAGTGTTTTCTCTAACCCTTTCAAAGGGATAGAGACTGAAAAAAGAGCAAGAGTTAGCTAGAGGATAAGTACTAGGAGGATAAGCCAGCTGGAAGATAAAACTCTCTTTGTAGCAACTGTGTTTGAGCCCTTTAAAATCTAGCCGATTGGGTAGGAGGCACAACAATTGAAGTGTTAAACACACAGCACAAAGGTATAACACAGTGGTCCAAACACCACTCCTGTGTGCCTGTAATGTGAAATGATGGCTTCTATGTGTTCTATACATGTGGAATTATTAACAAAGTATTTGAGAATAGTTATTAATAAAATGCCATCGGAGTGTTTTTTAAATTCTATGAACAGGGATCAATTTATCAGCTACTGAAATGCAGTCACTGTTATGATGTCATTTCAACTGCAGTGGAATTCAGTTAAAGGGAATGCAGTTTCTTATGGGACTGAGACAAACAACCATGGAAACCTAAGGGCCTGTTCAGCAATAAATGAGCTCAGTAGACATCATCAGGACTGATTTTAAAGCAAAATTGTTATAACCAGAAATAAAGAATAGTAGCATAAACCAAGAAACAACTGGAAAGTTGCATCATTTATTTAGTCATCTTCCAAACTACCTATTTGCACTTTCTGTCCAGAACTGGGGGGAAAAAAAAAAAAAAAAAAAAAAAAAAAAGGCCTGAAATCTAATCCTTTTTCCCCCATGTCTGAGAAGTAATTGACACAATCTTGAAGGACATGCATTAAGAAAACATTAGTTGGGTTGATATATGACAAAAATGTAGATTTTGCATGAATTTGTCATTTCTTTTTTCAGCCCTCTGATTTCGTCCATATTTACCTACCTTTCATGCTAACAGTCCTTTGGAATCTGCCATCTCCTTTCTCCTTTTGAAGTTTATTGAGATATTCCATGCCCCCTGTAACTTGAGTCAACATGTTTAATGAGTTTATTCTCATTTTTCTCTGAAAAAAACCACCACAAACCCCATATTTTTTTCAAAAACCTCAGTTAAATTTTCTGCCTTTAATAAACATTAACTTCTTCAGTTGCTGCCAGTGTTTCAATGCTGGCTCGTCTCCTGGAAGGTATAGATTGCCTGGGCATTAAAAACCAATTTATCTGAAACTACCTTAAAGATCTGATTTGTAAGATGAGCCTGATGTTTGTAAGTGGAGTGTCAGTCTAGGAATAAATGAAGAATGGAAACTTTCTGCCAAGATGGTATTTTTCTGCTTGTATACGTGTGTGTGTTTCAAATAGTGCTTTGACAGCTCTGTGGAGGTGGAAGAGCTTGAGCAAACTGTGAAAGATAATCTGATGTATTTACTGTGAACAGGTTGCAACAATACCAACAATCAGGAACGGATAAGAGGAAAGCTCAGCACGGGGTTTGGTGGGATAATAAGTTTTTTGATCTTTGAAAAAAATAGAACAGTTTATCGAAGAAAAAGGAGTTTAAGTTTAAAGTATAAAAAAAAAGTTTTTAGTAAAATATGTGCTCTTCAATTTTCTATTACTAAATTGGAACAAACAGGTTTGCCAGAGTCATTTTATTCTTTTCTTACTTGTACTATCTTTGTTTTGCAAACAGAGTGAACAGTTTGCCTCTGCAATCTGATAGACTCTAATTTACAATGTCATGCTAGTTATGTATCTAAATTCCATGGATTGCAATTATTGCAGAATGACATTTAAAAAGCACTGCAGTTTAATGCAGATTCACCGGAACTAGTGTTGAATTAGAAAAAATATTCTTTATAGCATCTCCCGAGGGACTCTGAATGTTTTTTTTAGCTATGTAGTCATTTTTTTTTCTCATTTGTGTCCATAACATGAACAATATTTGGATTTCTACCCAGTTCTTTATACTCTGGATGTTAGCAGAGAAAGCAGGTACATTTGATGTTAGTCTTCATGTTCAGCTATGTTCTTGTCCTGAGGATACTAACAGCTGTTAAGATTTCATAAGACAGAAAGGTATTCCAAAATGTGGGTCTACTCTATCAAACACTTTGGTCTATCAAACCAAAGATCTACCAAATATCTGTGGTCTATCAATTGCCTTTGAAATTTAGTCCTGCTATTGACTGAGAATTCATTTAAAGTACTTTTCCATCAGGGACTTCAGAATAAATGGTCTACATAGAATTTAATGATCCTGAATCCAGCTTGTTCTTCTTCAAGATTGCTATACATTGTTTACTAGAGTAGTATTATTTCTTTTGAGTTTTTGAAATCAATGAGAAATTTCAGGTTTATTCCACATATCCAACTATTATCATATATCTGTTTTCACATTGTGCTTTTACACTACAAGGCACACTTGCTTTTCAGTGTTTTATCTACTTTCATATTCTTTGCCTCTCCAAACTTTTAATTTTACCTGGTATTCTTTTCTAGTACTCTTCTTTGGCTAGCTTCCTTGTCTTAGACTTGAAGTACTGAAGTTTGAATTCCATTTTGCAACTCGTTTTTCTTCCATTGTAGTTTTTACCTCTGTCTCTCATAGGCGCTCAGTGTATCTTGAGATTTCTTTTTCGGATTTATTTTCAGTTTGGCAAAGTTAAGATTGTGGCTGTTCTTGATATGACTGTTCAATGTGCTTTTACATTTGTTTGAATATAATCTATTTGATTTTCTGATTCACCATCTGGTGAGTTTGTGTTTGTTAGGTAACATGAAGTTGGAAAGAACTAGGCTGTTCACTAAACACAAATCAATGAGTTTCTCATCATTTTGATGACAGTTTCCTTCCAATACTTTCCCACTGTTCCATTTCTTCATTGTAGCATCCTAAACAGAAGGTAAATGGTGTTTTGGTACTTTCAAACAAGCAATGGGTGAAAATGTGAAAGACACCTTTGCTCCTTCTGGTTATGTTTCTGTGTAAGGGAATAGCATGGCTCAATTGACATCCTTCATGTCCTCTTGTTGAGTTTGGAATTGTATTGGTTGTAGAAAACAGATGGCAGGCCAGCTGAATGGCACTGTGAACGCAATTGTCTTGAAGATTTTTTTGTCACTGAAGCATATATAGATAAAAATAGAGATACCTGAAATATATTCTGTCTATGCCACTCCTTCATTACCACTGGTGGCCTGGATTCCTATCTATAATTGTGTATTTATCTAGAAATAATGCATTTTCCTACTGATAACATGATTATTTTGAGGAATCTGCTTTCTAGAGTTTTGTTTGTTTGCTTATCCATTTTACTTTTGGGTGGGGTTTCCTTATTTGTTTTGTTTTGTTTTCTGGAGCTTTAGTATAATGTAGAGATTGATTAAGTTTTTGTGAGTGGCCATATTACTAGAATGGTAATTTATCACCTTATGTCTAACTAGCAAAATTTTTAAAAGTGAAGCTTTCATTTCACATTTACATACATTTACATTTATCCAGGCTTAGGAAAGCAGCTATACAAAGTAATCCCATCAGCAGAGCAATTATTTTGTAATATTGTTGTGACATAGTTACATATTCAAAATATTTTAAAGCAACTTTCAACATTACTCATGAGCTCATTCAAAAGAAAATAAAATTTTGTACTACTTGCACATATCTTATTTCTGTTTCAGAAAAAGGCATCTGAAAGTCCTCTGACTTTAATCATATGGTAATACTTTTCTCACAACTGTCATTGCTTTCAACTCAAGCTGAATGTCAGTGGGATAGTAGGCAAGAAATCTCCTGTTTCATTCTAGTGGACATGAGACTGCTATGCACTTTCCTCAGGAATGTGTACTTATTGCAGTGGCCTTGTCTTCCCTGGACCTGCTTTCTTGTGGTGTAGTCTCTTCAGTTAAAGAGCAGTGCCCACAGGAATGCTTGCAAAGCAAGTTCTGCTGTGGCAAGTGTTAAAATAAAGCTTTGCAAATTTCTTGAAAGCAGTTTCTGAATCTGAGAAGAATTCAAAGTCATTGTCCATTGTGCCCACAGAGGCACAGAAAACCACTTCAAGCTACGATGGCCTCAAGTTCAAGTGAATTATGCCTGAAAGAGAGAAGTGGATTTCTGTACCCTTTGCCACAGGATGCTCATTTTATGCTTATTCAGTTTCAAGATGTGTTAAATTAGTGTATAGGACACATAGTATCACACCCTTTTCATTGAGTACATAAGACAAATTGTTAATGAACAGGATCAGACTCATTTAAGAGGATGTTACCAAAAAAAGAAAATTATAGGGAAGACATAAACTGGTCAGAAAGTGAAACACCAGCAGCCGCAAGAGGTCAAAACTAAGGGGTGAAAGGATTACAAATATTTTTAATAAGGCTTAGAAATTCTATCAGTTACACATTATTGGTTCTACTATGCTGCAGGAATACAGGAAGGGTAGTATGAACTGCATTATTTATAATACAACAAACCGCAATACCTCCAGGATGTATATTATCCAATTTTATTTTGCCACTCATCACTATGGTTCCTGAATGTCAGCACCTTGTTGCCTTACCAGCTGGATTGGTACAAAAGATCTTGCTATTAATATGTCATTCTCGGAGCTGTTGACCTGGCTCCATGTGATCCTCATTTAGCTTAAAGAGGCCAATCCTGCACAAGCCAAAGACAGTAACTTTGATAGGGATAGGATAGCACTTTAAAAAAGTTAGCCTCTCCAGAGGTCATTCACTCTTTCACAGTGCTAAACACCCCAAAATTGCGTTTAAGAGACATAATATCAAACATTACGTACTATTAGTGATTTAATAAATGCAATACAAGTGTGTGCTTTTTTTTTCAAAAGTTACTTCCTTCTGCATTTGGAAGTGCTAATTTTGTGTGAAAACTCTTTAATTTTGTCAAAGTACTGATAAAATAAAATTCTAATTCCAACCCCTGCAACAAATTCCACCTTTTTTTTTTTAATGACATTTCCAGCCGTTGCAGTCCTAAAGCGGCCTTAATGAAATAATTATAGTCATAATAAAGAAAGTTATATTTCCTTCTGGGAACTTTACTTGTCCCACAACCACTAAAAAGGAAGAATTTAAAGAATTTATATCAAGCATATTTTCAAGTTCTATTTTTCAGGCTACTACTTAAAATACAGAATACTGTGTATATGTAAAACAGCACAACAATATTCCTGATGATAACTCTATGTTTAAACGATTCTTCTGTCCTGTTAATAACCTTGCCAGACATTTTCTATTTCTTTGGCCTTTCATGGATATCAGACATGTGCTAACGTGTCTACACATCCATACAGAAAAGCACCTTTTTCTTTTCTATTTACAGGAAAAACAAACCCTTCCTGAACTGTAATAAATACAAAATGAAAAAATAAAATCAGCTAGGAAAAATTGTTTTAGAGAGCATAGTTCATCGGGGTGAATAATTAAATCAGTGAGACAATGTTAAATATTTTGTGAAACTGAACAAATTTGCCTTACTTATTTTAAATACATATGCATCTTATTTAGTCAGCTTTGTGAGCTGGATATATACTAGATGAGCATTAAATTTTAAATATGGAATCAATGAAAGGAATTTCAGGTATACCTAACCTCTTAAATCACTTAATTCTAAAAATTTGTCTAAGGAAGCAAATAGGTATCTATTTCTCGTATAACATATAACATCACTTGGCTTATCCTTTTTCTCTTATTTAGCCCACCCACAAAAAGCACACTCATAGATTCAATATCTCAAATATATAATTATCTTTAGGACTCGTTTTTAACATTTGAGCTTATTAGTTATTATTTTTTGTACTAATCACATGGCTTTTTTCTAGGATAGCTTGACAAAAGTAACTGCTACAGTTAGATGGAACTTGTGATGCTACTGAGATCTAAATATCTCAGGAATTGAAAGTGACATGTCAAAGCAACAGGTAAACACGACACGAGAATTTTAGAAGATTCTGAATCTTTGTCAGACTACAAGTCTATTTTTAACACATTTTATGGACTGGACTCTGACCTGTTATGAATATCTAAACCAATTTGCCAAAGTCAGGAAACAAAATAACTATTAAAATAAGTTATTCAAGCTTATTGCACTGCTTATTTAAGCTGGTTAGAAATGAAAGTCCTAGCTCAAACATCCTTCTAATGTTTTCACTTGTACTCTGCTGTCCCACTGAAGTACATTGCATTAATTAGTATATAATATCATTTGGTCATACATTTATAAGGGAGTTTATGATCTGGGAGCTATAAGATGGAATTTTCATAGAGAATGTAAAATTTAATCTTTTTGGTGAATATTAGATAGAGTGGCAATTTTTAGTAGAATATGATTAATTGCTACAAATATTCATTACTAAAATTCAGCATTTGATTCCATGCCAATCCCACACTTTTTTATGTAAGGATCTCTTTAACTTAGGTATGTCTTTAACATGACATGTTCTATAGTGAAAATATTCACTTTGATCTTAAAAAAAAAAGCTCAAGAAAATCTTAAAACATATGATAAGTGCTATTCATTAATAAATCACCATAAATTCCATGATTCTACCATTTTTTCCTTTAAGTTTTAGCCTACTGTGCTTCATGCCATGCAACTGAAGAAGTTCTGGGCGAGCCAAAGTTGATACTCAAGTAAACTTTACAAAGAAAACAGTATGAACACCCAGGTAGCAAAAGCTGTGCATTTCTGACAGGTCACTGTTGTCCGTACCCAATAATAGTCCATGGAGAACCCTTCAAACTATTGCTCGCTTAGAAATATATATCTTTTCTTAAAATGCAGTAAACTGGTTTTCACAACAGCTAATATTTCTCCCAGCAGTAAGCCTATATGGATGTTGACACAGGTGTATCGAACATCCCATGGGGACAAGAGGTTAAATACTAATCTACTTGAACTAAACATAATCTGTTTATGGTCTATCTGCTGTTTGTACCTATTCAGTAGGTGAGAACAAGGCATCAGGTATTATTGAATAGTGGCGATGTGATTAGTATCAAGGTCAGATTTTCTGAGAGGGCAAAATGAAATAGGAGCTGAAATATCATTCTGAAGTCAGTGGTCCCTAAAAGAATAAGTCACTTAAAAAATATTGTCATCTCAAACCATGTGAGAATTTTATTTTTAGTCAGACTAAAGTAAAATTATAGATACAAAAGTGACTTTAAAAGGTTACTTACATAATTTTCCTGCCTTAAAGTCAACCGTGCTTATGAAATTTCTGACATCTTTGGCCTAAAATTGAGCATCCAGTGACAAAAATTCCATAATAACAGGTACATTACAGTAACTTATGATAATTTTCTCTGTAATGTTTCTCCCTCTTAAATAGTGTATCCATGTCTATCATGTCAATTTTCTTGGGCCTGCAAATGTCCTTAAGCGCTTCATGATTGCTATGCTTCTCAAAATAAAAACACTCTGCAAAAACAGTGTTTATGAAACTATGTATTTAAATACATATTTAAATAAAATAATCTTTAACTGGACTGTGTGCTTTCATTGAAGGCTTTTTTTTTTTCTGTTCTCTTCGATGAATAACATTAATCTTAATAAGCAATAAGACCTTGAGCTTTGAATCTCCAGTAAAAGACATGAAAATGCATTTTGAGCATGTATCAGTAGAATCTATTAGACTGTTCCTGTCTTCTGCGCAAAAAATGGATCTGAAAAATTTGGTGTACAAATAATAAAAGCATTTTCTAAATTACAGAAGTCTGAGTTTTAATGAAATTTAGATGTTCAAGGATATTGATAGAAATAGAGCAGGTTTTGCAACAGCAAAAACATCCAAACATCCATTGGAATGAGTAGAGGTTGGCTGCTTAATGTATTTGAAAATCCCAAGAGGCAAACATTTGAAAACTACTAACATACTCTTTGATACTGAGAATATTCATGTTAGTAATATTTTCAGAGTCAGTCATCATTAGACTGAAAACAGAAACTGTAGTTCAAGGTTTTGAGACCTTTCAAACATAAATGTGGTAGAGCAGTCTCCTGGTCTTTGTCTAAACTTTTATGACCTAGTATTGTGCAGTAAAAAAATGCGGAATCAGAGATTAGCACTGACTTGTTGCCATAAGTGTTGAAAAGTAATCCTGAGAGAGTAAACAAAAAGAAAACAAGAAATAAAAGCAAACTTTGGGGCCAGATGTGAAGAAACTATAATTTTATTTATGCTTTCCAACACAATGCACATTGATGTACAAATTTATATACAAATATTTTGGCTTTTTTTAACAAAAATTTGGAGATACGTCATATGCATAATTTTTCAGCTATCATCAGTCAGTAAAAACAAATTAATCTCAGAAACCACTTGGGAATATTTAGAATAATTAGATACTTGTACTACTTCTTCCTTTGTAAAAGGGCTTTTTTTTTCCCCCTGCACTTATTTCCATTAGAAATAAACTTCCCTAGAAGTCAGTAAGACAGAAGTTTATCATTCATAAAATAAAAAACATTTGATTTAACAGAAAAGGTGATGATAAGCTTTCTTTAATCTTTGTGAAACAACTTGATTTAGGCTGGAAAAGTATAAAATTTTTCTATAGTTTTAACTGGTATATCCAGTTGGGTTTTCTCCAGTATGCTAAACAACTTGCAGTTGTGCAGAATCAGGTTTCACGTGTTCCTATACTAGATATGAAGTTTTACTATTGTTTGCAGTAGAAGTATACAACAGGGAGTACATGATAGGCAAGCAAACCACTTGCAAATCTTATTCTCACACATATGACAACAATTTCAAGTTCATACTGAAGTACTTTTATAGTCAGTGTATTTTTCTTTGCAGTGGTCAAGCAAGGTGGACGTTTTGCATTTTAGGAACATACCTAGCTCCTTTCCCCACTACCTAAGATTGCAAAACAGATTCCAATGGATCACCTTGGTAGCCAATTATCAAAGTTGACACAGGTAATCTGAAGGAAAAAAAAGGGATGAAGATAAGAAATATGAAGTTTTTTTCTTATTCTGTCATTGCTTCATTGATTACTGAATGAGGAAAACGGAAAGAATTTGAATGTGTGCTTACTTTTTAATTGTGTTATATAAGCTGTATACAATTCAGAGAAGTGATAACTAGGAAAGAGAGAGAAAAATTAATTTTATTTTATCAACTGGTTGTGTAGCATATTGTATGTAGTGTGTCATTTCAATCTAAGGAACACTGCACTTTGTTATGCTTTTACTGTATGATGTGATGGAGAGTCTCCAGCTCAGCATTAGAGCACAGCTCACACAGTACTGGAGTTGTAGTTTGTTTGCAATATGCCAGTGATCATAGATCTGAAACTGAAGTCTGGTTGCTGTTTATCCATATGATCTGAACAAAATCAGAAACAGAGGAATACAGAGAGATTGTCTGAGCAGTCCAGGGATCCGATTAGGAAAGCAGCGTATGTATACTTTATTGATCAGATAGGTTAGTAATAAAATATTAGTTCCCCTTATAAGCAGGCAACTTATTTACATTCCATGATGCTTAACTTACTTTTTGATATATTTCTGCCTGTGAATTGTGGTTCCAACAGTTTCCTGCAACAGCTAGAAAGAAAAAATCAGCTGAAAGAAAATACGTGTATAAATATGCTCTTGTTTAAAACATCACATTCAAGAATATAAACCAAGATGAATTCCGACAATCTTTTAGTTACATTTTCAAGGTGGAGTAATGTACCAGAAATATTCCCAAAAGATCTGTCTATTGGGAACTTGGCACAAAACTTGGCATATTTTCATATTGTCCCAGCTGAAAAGCTTTTGCTATAGTCTGTAGCATGTTCTTTCCTAATTTTCTAGCTTCCTACAGGAGACAAGGATGCCAAGTTAACATTATACTTATGGTTTATTAATGAGATTTAACATACTGCAAATTGGGGAGGGGAATTACTGAATGGAAAAGATTGAAAAGAAACAGCTGCATGTTAAAAATACATTCTTTTTAAAATTTAATTTTTTATTATTGTGACCGTATGTCTACAGTAAGGTCATATCAAGTGCACTCTTGTAAAGTTATGTTGCTATTTTAAGTTATTCAATAATAATTGGCCTTTGGAAAAGTAAATTAACAGTTTGATGTTAATCAAGGTAAATTTGGCTATTTAATATTAGAGTTAATTTGAATTATAATTAAAATATCAGGATAGCTCTAAATCAAAAATGTGTTATGGAGTTTCTGTGTATTAAGTGTGATAGGTCTGAAGCTGATTTCTATTTATGACTAGTTATAGAGTTAGTCCCAAAATCATCATATTGTGTTAATTCTGTTATTACATAGGACACACAAAATCATGAATAATATATCATAAGCAGATTGAACTAAATGTAGGGATGTTGCTGTTATTATTTTCTAAAGCACAGTTAATTTGATTTTCATGAAACAGAAGCTGACCCATGACGTCTGCTTCAGTCAACTCATCCAATATTTTTGTGACCAACATCTGAGTAACACAAAAAATAGAGTAATTTTTATCTAACAGCTGAGTTTCTAATCTGGGTATGAATCAAGGATGCATAATTTAAGAAAGCATGGAAAACCTCTGTTCATTCTGTGCAGGGAGTAATTAAACTATAGAAGTTAACCTGATAGTTGTCTTGAAAGCCAGCAAAACCATAATTTCTAACATACAGAATTTCACAGTGTATATTGATGGACATTTGTTTAGGGAAAATGTTAGGGTTTTAGTGTACTGTTTTCCTAAAATATGTGGAATGCCAAGTTGAATAAATATGTAGATCTAATAAAAAGACCAAAATTTGGTTTGATTAGAAAGAATGTCAATGTGTCTAACTGCAGACAATGAGGGAACAGCTGTAGAAGCTGAGACCAAAGCAATCATGAAAGTGAGTGTTCTCTTAGAGAAGTCTGGGCTGAGTCACTCAGAAACATACCAGATGCCAGATGTTAAAGCATTTGTCGTATTTACTAAGGTATTGAGAACTGCAAGGCACTGTGTCCCGTGCAACTTTTTGATGGGCAATCATAGTTGAAATAAAAGACTATAAAACAAAAATGAAGCAGAATTGCATAGATTTGAGAAAATTGACATAAACTGTGAAAAAGCAATATATTAGAAAATAGTTTAAGAGCACCTCCCCTGACTTAGGAACCCAAACACTATTTTCAAAACAATGATATAATCTTTGGTTATGAACCGAAGTTATACCACCATAACAACACTACTTCGGTTTTTTTTCCCCATCCTAGTTTTGGTGTTAAAAATGTTCTTACATTAGTATAGAATATATCAATGTGGAAGTCACCATGATAAGAGAAACTCATGCATATAATTGGTTCTGGCAATGTAAGTCATTCTGCTTGAAAGAATACCATAGATGTGAATCAGAATATTCAAATCTCTACAAAATCAGTGTATTTGCCATGCTTCAGAATGAAAGGCTTGGCAGGTGCAGAGACACACAAGCTGGCTCTTAACAGAGTCTCTTAGGAACAGAAACTCTGCTGAATGTGGTAGACGAGTACGCACTCCAAGTTTGACTGCAGTCTCTGCTAAACAGATTAATTATCCTTGGAAAATCGAGTACAATGCTTTTCCTACTGACTTTATTTCTAGGCTTGGAGAGCTATGAATCTTGATTTCCTGAAACACAGAAAGTATTGCATATAGAAAAAAGGCACATAGAAATATCCCTTACTAAGATATGCAAACCTTGGGAAGGGAAATGTGCCATTTCTTACTAGACAAATCCAGCTGGCAGATTTAGGCTACAATTATACACACCACTCCCCAAACATTATATTGAAATCTTCCAAACTTATGTGAAGACTGTGGATTCCACCATAGGAATCTACTTTTAGAGACTGGCAATCTGTATTTTTTCCATCAAGCCTTTAATTAAAAAATGGACATAAAAACCTAAAAGTAGTCATGCTTGATTGCTCAGTCCATTAATGGGGTGATCAGTCTCCTAAGGCTACAAACTGCCTTTGGTAAAGAAGAATGAACTAAATGCCTGAGCTCTCAAGACCTCCATAGTTCTTGACAAGCGAAACATATTCTGAAGGTGCTTCTGCATGCTTTACATTATGCTTTATTAGCAAGGCACAATGAATACATCAAAATAATTTTTCTGGGCTTTTTTTTTATAACTTATTTCTGTACTTTGCAACAATTCAAGACTTCCCAGTCGGCAAACTGAGAAATGACTTTGCCTACCCGATCAACCTTCTGTTCTGGTAGAGTCTCTTATGATGAACGTAATGGGGAGTTTGGCTGAAGGTCTGATACCTATGCTTTTCTGCTCCTTTATGAAGGCTATTTAGAACTTTCAGAATCCTGTATCTATAGTTTCAGGGTTTCTGGGACTTCCAATAACTAAAGGAAACCTCACTTCTTGTGTTTTCCTTTTACTAACCAACAGAACAGAGATACTTCACCTTTGCTCACGCAGGAACTGCTAGTTCAGTTATTCCACTGGTTGATGCTTAATTATAATCCTTAGTTACAACATCT